AATGAAAATCTGCAACAAAGCCGGCTGGCACTTTACGCTAATGGCTGCCCCAGAGTCAAATTGCCTCAGGTCTCATTATGCATACCAAATGAAAGCTTATTGGCCGAACCAACTGCACAAACACGAACATGGGACACAGACGGAGGGATACGGGGTCGACTACGACAATGACAGGCAAACAACAGTTTGGGGCAATATGGAACTGCGCCGCCACACACAGCGACACAAAATCATTTGAAAGCAATTATATCAGACAAAACAGGAGAAGTACGCTGTGGATGTGACAGACGATTGGGTAAATGGGCATAGGCAATGGGAATGGGAATGGGGAATGGACATGGGTATGGGGTCCGGTCACTCTCCGTTTTCCGTGGCTCCATGCTCCTCCGTAGTCAGTACGTACAATGAATCAATTTACGAAACGTAACAAAGCCGCAATTACAAGCAGAGTGAGAGAGAGAGAGAGAGACAGGGACAGAGACAAGAAACAAAACGACAATTATGAAAAGAGCAGCGAGTGGTGCAATTGCATTGCCCCGCCAAACCAACTCTTCCCGCACTCCGCTCCGTCCCATCCTTGCGCGAATGACGACAACCTCTCTAACGGTTGTTGCAGCAGTCGCTCATTGCATTCCCATTCCCTCTCTCCAGTGGTTCTTGTCGTTGTCGTTGTTGTTGTTGTTAATTCCTAGGCCAAATTTTTCGAAAGGGCCGCTGGACGAAAGCGTGTACTGTTTTGCCTTTTTGTGTGTGTTTTGTGTATTTGTGTGTTTTGTTGTTTGCATTGCTTTTGATTTTCTCTGTTTTTGGGTGCCGCGTGTCAGTGTTCTAATGGATAATTGTCGAACTCGAATGCCAATGCGGATGCCGTTGTCGTACGTAGCCCATGTTCTCGCTGCTGCTGCTGCTGTCGTAGCTCATTCGAAGAGAGGGTAGCAGGGGATGGATTAACTAGACAATCCACTGGGCTGTGCATGCTCTAAAAAACCCAAAATACTTGTTGATTCATAGCCTGTGGACAAACGTATGATAGCTTATGATTGTTCAAGAGCTTTGGTGATAAATTGGTGCGGCAGTACAATGCGTTTTAGAGGATATTTATATGGAGAGAGTATCAGCAATCGGAATAAGCAATATGTCTTGAAGGATTTCTGGTACCGAAAGTGTAATTTGTGGCTGTTTTCGCTTCATCTAACATGCAATTAAGAAATAATTGAAGGCTATATTTATAAACAAATACACCCTGTAGGTGTATGAATAATAAAAAAGATTACTACTTATGCTGATGCTCTGTTTTTCCAAGAATTTGAGATATTAAATGAAGCATGTTAGGGTATGGATATCTCATGGCTTATATTATAATTTATAGAATTCTATTTTTGTTTTGAATTAACAAATTCATATCCTACGAAGCCCTGGGAAATTGTTTTCTTCTACCCACAAGGCAACTCTTAAACCTCATTCTATAGGGTATCCAGCTGATCGATCAGCCTCTAATGTTCAGCACTCTCCACTCATTTGTTGTTCTTGCTGCATTCGCCACTAAAAATACATTGGCAAAGTGAATTATATTAATAGCAGGGCATTTATTTAGTTATTTCAAAGTTTTGTTGCGTGTGTTTTACTTTTTTTGGTTTTGGTTTTGTTTTAATTGCATTTTCTTGCGCCTTTGTGTTTATTTACTTTGCCATTTTGCGCCAGCAGCAGAAGATCTCTCATCTGCCACCGATCGCCTCATCCTGTTGCCTGCTTTTCCCCGATGCCAATGAGCGTCCCTCCCCTCGCTTATGCACTCTAACTTTTCGGTGGCAAAAGATGTGCCGCCACCTCCTTGCAGTGGCCTCCGCTTTCGGACACTTTGCCCACGGGTTGGAGGCCCTTCAAAATATTTATAAAGTTGCCAAAAGAAAAATAGTGGATGAGCAGGAAGGCGGTACCGAGACCGGGAGACCGTTCAAATTTACTGAGCCATGGCGATCGCCGCGAGGAGAGAGAGAGCAGAGCCACCGACCAACCGACCGACGGACCGACCGACCGACTGCCAGTGAACGAAACTGTGAATGGAATTGTATTCGCATGTCTCCCCCGAAGTTGCACAACCGAAATAGAGATAAAGGGAGAGCGAGTGAAAGATACAAGAAAGAAATACAGAGATGCGGATGCATTTGTATCTGTATTTGTATCTGGGGGGAGCGTCATCAAAAGGTATTTTACATTAATTCAAGATTTATGCATTCAACATTCGCGCTGCGCCGCGCTGCGCTGCTAGGTGCTGCATTTCCCATTCGCGCAACGCCACACAAAACTTTTACCCGACTGCAACGACTGCAACTGTTTGCAACAACTGTTGCCCCGTGTGGCACCTGCCAACATCATTGGAGATGGAGGCAGCGGCAGCAGCAGCAGCATCGGTACCGAGCAGCAGGTGATCCATTTCTTTTATCCGGTAGCCTACGGCCTGTAGCCAGCCCTGCCCTGCCCAGCCCTGCCCTGCCCTGCCCTGCCCTGCCTGCCACTTGAAGATGCAACATGCCCCAGCCTATTTTTGTGGCTGCTGTTGCTGCTGCAAGTTGGCCAAAAACTAATGCAAATAGACAAGAAGAGCTGCTGCATCAAACATCCCAATGCCTATGGCCCCCCTCACCACCCTTGCCGACCCATGTGCCGCACACTCTTTGTGGAGTGCTGAAATTTGCAGCATTTCGATAATAGATACGAGTACACACATACATATATACGAATATGTGGCAGTGGCAAGAGTCTGATGGGAGGGGGGAATTATGTATCACATGTATGTATGTATATGCATGAACTGCATAATTTATGGGGATTGCGTGTTCAATGGATTGCGACGGCTGTACGGGGGCCATATGGCCATAACTACTGCCCCTATACCTCCTCTCACCGTTTTCCATGCAGATCTCTGCCCTGCATATGAAGATAATCTCTGGCTGCCACCCGCCCCACCCGATATGATGGAGAGTTTCTGTGATTCAGGTTGACACCAGAGATGGTTAGGGAACGCTCCATTAGTGTCTCATATTTGCAAAACTAAAGAAATGTGCGGGGTGGGGGGTATAAAATTAAGTGATCTTTTTTATGGGTTTTCTTTTTGGGTAGTTAAATTCTCATAGAGAACTTGTGAGAGATTCTAGAGGAAAGAGTTGAAATCTATGATATTTTTTATTCAGTTTTGAGCACTTAAATGGAAGTAAAAATAACAGAAAACTTAAGGGTTTTATTGCCTATTACGAGCCAGTTGCCTGCATTTTAAAGTAAATATTCCCATAGATCACTGGACTCCCCATTCCATATTCCTTCTATTCCTTGCGCCAATTACATTTCCCCATTCATATTTATTCCCCAGTCTTAGCACACGCACACACATTTCCATACCCCCATCTATGCTACCCTTTGATTCCTCCTTTCATAATTTGTTCACTTCATGGACTGCGTCAAAAGGCTGTTTGTGTGTGTGTGCGCCCCTAGCCCCTTGCTCCCCATCATCATTACCTTTCAATCAGTGCCAGCAGTGCCACTCGACTGCCAATCATGGGATCACTCATTTGTTTGTCTGATTCTCTCGCCCCCTGACTGTCCCAACACAACAGGCACCCACCCACAATGCCCCCACACAGCCGTTGCAACCTGATGCAAATTATCAGCAATGCAGCTTGCAATTAATCTGCTGCATATGACACCGCCGCACCGCCGCAATCACAACTTAACCCATTTTCGGGCCAGAGTAAATGCGACACAGGAAGTGGCAAAGTGGCAGAGTGGCAGAGACTCGACCGATGATAAACTGTAACCAGAAGAGGAAGGACGATAGCCGAGCCGAGTCGAGTCGAGAGACTAGTAACTGCAATGCACTAAAGCACTAAGCACTCAATGGCTTTAATTGAATTTTGATGTCCTTGGCAAATTGTTTTCTAATTAGTTTCGCAGACTTTGCACTCCCCTGGTTACAGCCTCAACTGTACGGGACTGAACTGGACTGCAGCCCAGAGTTGACATAGAAAAACTTTCTGTCAACAGCTCTAACTGCTTTCACACTTTCCTTCCCCTTCCCCATCCCCTTCCGTTGCTTCGCTGCTCCCCAGCCATTTCCTGCTCTTCAATAATGACAAACTTAAAACTAAAACAATTAATGCCACGTCCACGACCTCAGACACAAAACAAAACAAAAAAAAACATTAAAGAAAGCCAGCAAAGAGGTTTTTCGGTAAGCGAATAATTAAATACTCTAAGCGAGGATAATCTTCAAGCGTTGACTGTACGATTGGTAATGGAATTTGGTTCAGATTTGTGGCAAAGTTTGATTGTTTTTTTCTACACAAATTCCACAATTCCCCTATTCTTCTCAGGGTATTTTTAATAGCTTTGTGATTTGAATATATTTTCCAATTATTTGTTGTGGCTAAAGTAGAAAACACTCAAAGTTGTTAGCCTATGCCCAAGCATTTTAATAAACTAATCTGAATTTTAAATAATTTTTAAAAATAAAATAAATTTTAACAAAGAGCTTTGAAAATTCCGAAGGTATTTCGATTGTGTACAAACTTGGGACTTGTGGAGATTATAGAGATTATAGAGATCGTTGTTAGGGAAAGCTTTTGTTATAGAAATCGAAACAAAAAATTCCTGAAAATATGCTCTAATGAGGCGAAAATTGTTGATTGAAATTTTGGAGAACTGCTTGGAGTACTACCACAAAGATACGAATGATGGAAGCGACAAATAGCTAAATGGATATATGCACCTACATATGAACGTGAAAGAATAAGGGGACTGAGGCTAGAGGCTGAATGAAAAGACAGACAGAACTTTAACCCTCAAGAAAATAATGAGCCAATGACCGCTGGAAAAACAAATTTAGCTCGCCAAATGCAGATCCCACAAATATACATATCTTCTAAGTCCTGAGAATGTCACAAACTTCCAGCACACACCGTTAGAGCCTTTAGAAGGGCTGCTAAAGAAAAGAGTAAAACACTTACCCAGGATCATTGGGCACCTCCGAGGGTGAGCAGGGACCCAGCTCCACTTGCTGCTGCTGCTGCTGTTGTTGCTGTTGCTGCTGCTGCTGCTCAATCTTGATGTCCATGATGATGTGAGGGTTGGTGTGTGTGGATGGGTTGGGGTTGTGTCTTGGCGGGGGGCTGGTGTGTTGTCTGCTGCTCTGTTGCTACTCTATAATTGTTGCGCTAACGTCTGCTGTCCGGGCATTGGCGCGCGGCGAAAGGGGGCGGCGTGTGTGGTATGGTGTGGTGTGGAGTGGTGGAGGGGGGGATGCTGCTACGATTACTACGGAACGGCTAACAATCCCGGCCCTTAATCATTGGCCACGCTAGTGGCTGCTGCTGCTAGTCTGCTGTTTGATTTGCTTGATGATTCCTTGATTTCCATTTGGCTACTGAACTTTTTCCACTGCTTTTGGTTGGTTTTTGCTATGATTAATTCTGTGTGTGTTTTTTTTTTTTTGGTTTGGGTTTTGGTTTACTTTTGGTTTTGGTTGTAGGTTTGCTTTTGGCCTTGGCTTTGCTTTGGCTAACAATCAAACAGAATTGTTCACGTTTTTGTTTACATTTCACACTGGGAATCACATTTCTTGGTTGCTTCTTTTGTTGTTGCTTTCTCCTCCTCGTTTTGCAGGCCACTTTTGGTTAGAAATTTTTTAACAAATTTTGTGTTGCTTCTTTTTATTTTATTTTATTTTATTTTTTGCGGATTAATTATATTGTTATTTTTAGTGTTTTAAAAACGTTGCGTTAACTTTTGTTGTTACTTTTTTTTGGTTGTTGTTGTTGTTGGATACTTATTGGATTTTGAAGGCACCAACATCGTATTACTGCAAAAGGATTTGTTTTTTTTTTGTTTGTTTGTTTGCGGTTTGTAGGTGGTTTTTGGTGGGTGGGCGCCGGCGGAGCGGAGCGGTGTGCAATTTAATTAAATTGTAATTTTAAACTTTTGGAAATTCAAACTTTCAAACGGCAACCCCACTCTCTCCCTCACTCTTCCCCTTATCCGCAACGAAAAATCGTAAAATGCAAAATAAAAAAAAACTGCAGCGATTGGGCTGGGATGGGGGGACTGGGAAATAAGAGAGAGAGAGAGTAGGCGAGAGTGGGTGGCAGGTGCACGGAATTGACGGCTGAGTGACAATTTGAATGCGGTGCTACACGAGAGAAGAGGGTAAAATAGATCTGCCGTTTGAAATAAATTAGCCTTAGTTTATATGCAACTAAAGCCAGGCAATAAATTTAAGTGAAAGAACGACACTCTATCGGGGAGTTTCAATCTAGTTTAAGCATCCATCTGTGGATAAGCAATGAATATAGAGAGAGTAGCAATGGAAAATACAGCCACTAAAGATAGACCTTCTCAGCGGTAAGGAACTGTGGAACATTCCCAGGATCTGTACAAATCAGTAGAGCTAGAAACTTCTGCCCAAGTAAATCCAGGCTACTAAAGCTAAGCAATAGCAAAGCTAACTGTATTAATGGCACTAATGAAACGTACTTCCCATTCCTGCGAATTATATTCTGTGCCATCGGCCCTTGAAGTCTTTCTCTGCACTTCTCAGTCGTAACAGCTGTAGAAATTAGGATAATCCCTGCAATAAAAATGGCCATAGAAAAAAGCCTATGCTTCGAACTTCTCATTCTACAAAAACTAAATCAAATAAAATAATTTCAAATAGAGATTCACTTCGCATCGTTGTACTCCTAGCTGGAGATCCATCTCTGGCAGCTCAACTAACTACTTTGGTAGATGTCTGCCCTTCGCTCGCTTCAAAGACTTTAAGCTGCAATTAATGGGAAACATTTTTCTCGCACGATCATTTGAGGAGTAGCTCCATAAACTTTATAGATATACCCCTAAATAAAATATTTTTCGCTAAATTCTCTTAATGTTTTGTACGGAAGCAAAACCACCTGATCTCGTCGCCATAGGCTATCGAATTTTTAATAGCTCTGAACTTTTGTCTTCTGTTCTAACTATCTCCCAGCCCTCCTCCTTCGCTGTCTGCCTCTCCTGTCACTCTTTCGCTGTTTTTGCATGTTGCTGTGTGCCAATACGCCGTCGCCTTGATCTTTTCCCACACCCACAACAACAAACAATTGATAGAGCAGTACGGAGACAGCTAGATAGAGTGAGATAGTGGGAGAGAAGAGGAAGAACATTGCATGTGCTGTTGACTCCCACAGCAGCAGCAGCAACAACAACAAAAACCTCGTAATACCGCACAGCATGCAAGCTTTCACAAACAGACACTCATACACTCATACACACACACACCAGAGCGCACCCACACATATACGAACAAACAGAGCCAACTGAGAACATGCACCGTTACAACGAGTGCAGAAGTTAACTGGCGGCAGCAACAAACACGTGACCCGACAATTGCGACAATTGGCAAAATAAAATTTAAAAAAACAACAACAAAAACAAAACACAGACAAAAAACCCAACAAATCAAACACAAAAATTGCATTGCAATTCAAAAAGCCCCAAGAACGATCAACGCCAGAGGGAGGTAATGAATGATCTCAGTAATTTTAAATTCGAACTTCAATCTCCGTTACGAATGGACTTTTGCCGGCCGGCTGCCATATTGGCCGGCTTGCACCAGGCGATCAACGAAAGCTAAATGCTGCAAAACTCGACAGGAATTCGAAGTAGCAGAAGGAGGCAGCCAGTGATACGGTAAACGGATGCGGAGGATCCCAAGGCAGGTAAAATTTAAATTCAACTTTGATTTTTGTCCGCGCACTTTTTCTTTCAAATTAGTTCTCCCCTTGTATATTTTGTTTGTTTGTTTTTGTTTTGTTTTTTTACATTATATAATCGTCAAATTGCATTCCACACAGCCATCGTCGATTTAACAAAATGCAATACAGCCAACTGCTGTTGCTTATGATTATATTGTATGATTATTGAGTTGAGTTATGGCCGGCGCACTCCACTTGACTTGCAACTGCAGCGGCAGATGATTCGGAACTGGGGGATTTCAGCGGAATACTATATTGTGGCTATTATTGCGACTGCGACTGCGATTGCTGCTGGCTGCTGCTTGCTGCTACTGCTGGCTGCTGCTGCTGTTTTCTGTGCGCGCACACGAACGCGACAACCAACAAAACGACTCTACGACACGGCAGGCGGCAAGCGGCAGCTGAGACCCCAACACACACTGGGGCCGCCAGTCGATGCGATGGTAGTTGTAGTTGTATTTGAGCAAAGCTTTGCGGCAACTTGCACTACTTAACGTGTGTGCCGTGCCGTGCCGGCTGCACAAAGCGCATCAGCAACGGAACAGCTGATAAGTGATAAGCGGTCCCAGAGTGTCACTCAGAGAGCGAGAGAGAGAGTGCGCGAGAGAGCAATGAAAAGCATGTGGAATTAAAAGAGCGACAATAAAATTAAGAGCGAAAAGCTTACACTGTGCGCAAAAACGGGATTCAATACGCAGGGTATAAACATAACTCAGTGGGGTGGGAGGGATTTAACGGTAACGTATTCCGAAAAGGAGCGGCTTACTTCACAGCAGCAAAACAGAGACAAAACAGGCACCCTATCGTTGAATATACCTTGGGAGAGAGCTGACAGAAAGCTCCGTTACAAATTCGAGCGTTTTCCCACACTTAAAGGCGCTTTGCATTTATTGTTTCATTTTCAAAATACAGCTTACGGGGGGAATTTAGTTTTCAGATCAATGCCCCGTTATTAAACACCCGAACAGGGACTCATCCATGGCGGGGGAGTGGGATCTAGCTTAAAATTATGCAAAAACATTGTTAAGAGCGTGCGCATCATGTGTGTGTGTGTGTTCTTGTACGGGACACTTCCAGGCACCCGCTAAAGCACTGCTCTCCTTCTCCTCCATCCTTCCTGGTTGCACATTCTCTAACCGCGACTAGGGATTACAACGAAAACAAAGAGACGGCGGCCCTGTTGGACAGACAAGCGTCTAGCTGGTCTGTGCGGTCACTGGCTTGGTCGGCGGCGATGGCGATGTGGAGGTGGAGGTGTCAGTGGGCGGGGTGATCTCCTTCTCCTTGTTCCAACTCTTGAGGCCCTCGGGCAGGCTGGTGTCCTCCTCGAAGGAGCCGGTGCCCTCGACAAACTCCTCGTAGGTGGACTTCTCCTTGAAGGGACGCGGGCCGAGCAGCTCGATCATGTCGTCGCGGCTGAGCACCTCGTTCTGCAGCAGTCGCTCGGCCACGCGACGCACCTCCTCCTTGTGCTTGGTCAGCAGTGTGGTGGTGGCCACGTGGGCGCACTTAATGATGGACCGCACCTCGCTATCAATCATCATGGCGGTGTCCTCCGAATAGGGCTTGCTGAACACGGGATCGCCGGCCTGGCCCAGATCGAAGCTCACCTGACCGATCTTTTCGCTCATGCCGAAGCGCACCACCTGCGAGTAGGCCATGTCCGTGATCTTCTTCAGATCGTCCTGGGCACCGGTGGTGATGCGATTGAAGAACAGCTCCTCGGCCACACGGCCACCGATGGTCATGCACATGCGATCGAACAGCTGCTCCTTGGACATCAGATAGTGATCCCGGGGCAGGTACTGGGCATAGCCCAGGCCCTTGCCGCGCGGTATAATCGAAACCTTCAGCAGTGGATCGGCATGCTCCAGGAACCAGCCGGCCACAGCGTGTCCCGCCTCGTGGTGGGCCACCGTCTTCTTCTCCTCTGGCGCTAGTACATTCGTCTTCTTCTCCATGCCGGCAATCACACGCTCAATGGCCTGCTCGAAATGCTTGAGCACAATCGAGTCCTTGGAGTCGCGGGCGGCAATCAGGGCGGCCTCGTTGCACACGTTCGCGATGTCCGCGCCAGTGAAGCCGGGCGTCAGGGCCGCCATTTTGCGGGCCAAGTCGTTCTTGTCCAGCTCCGCCTTCAGTCCGCCCAGATGCACCTTAAAGATGCTCGCCCTGCCCTTGATGTCCGGCGCCGGCACGTAGATCTGTCGATCGAAGCGACCCGGTCGCATCAGTGCCTTGTCCAGGATGTCCACGCGATTGGTGGCAGCCAGCACCACCACATTCGTCGTCGTATTGAAGCCGTCCATCTCCACCAGCAGCTGATTGAGTGTGTTCTCCTGCTCCGAATGGCCGCCGAAGGTCTTGCCGCCACGCTTCCGGCCCACGGCATCGATCTCGTCAATGAACAGTATGCAGGGGGCATGCTTGCGGGCCATGGCGAACATGTCACGCACGCGGGACGGTCCCACGCCCACAAACATCTCGAGGAACTCCGAGCCGGACACGGTGATGAATGGTACATTGGCCTCGCCGGCGGTGGCCTTTGCCAGCATCGTTTTGCCTGTGCCCGGGGGTCCCGTGAGCATGGCGCCCTTTGGTATCTTGGCGCCCAGGTCGATGTACTGCTGTGGATTCTTCAGGAAGTTGACAAACTCCATGATCTCAATCTTGGCCTCCTCGCAGCCGGCAACGTCCCTGGGGGAAATAGGATAGAATAGATTACAGAATGAAAGTGGCATGGAGGAGTCGACGAGACTCACTTGAAGCCCACACCGATATCTGTGGGATTTATCAGCTTGGCTGTGGACTGCATGACGCCGCCAAAGAGACCGCCACCCTTGCGTCCCCGTGCGCCACCCATCATATCAGCAGATTTGCGCATCATGTACACAAGGAAGCCGATGATGAGGAGCGTCGGCAGCAAACCCGTCAGACTGGAGGCCTCCACTTCGTTGCGATAGATGACGGGTACAAAGTTGATCGACTCCGTGCCCTGCTCCGTTTGGGCCGTCTCCAGATTCCGCTCGAAGCTGTCCACGCTGCCAATATTGAACCAGAGCACACTGCTGCCCTGGCCGCTGTTCTGCTGGAGGCGCACACGCACCCACTTCTTGTTAACCACCTCCAGTTTTTCCACAACTCCCTTGGTCAGGTAACTGAACAGAGAAAACGAAAAACGAGAAACGAGAAACGAGAAAAATTAATAAATTACATAATAAATTGTGAGGCAGCAGACCTGAGGTCTCAGGAACATGGGAACATTCGCACCTGTTTACAAACTCCTTCCAGGAGATCTCCTTGTAGCCCATCTCGAAGAAGGCAAACGAGCCGACAAGCACCACGGCACCGATGGCGCCCAGCAGTATCCAGCGCTCGCGATCTCCGCCACTGCCCTCGCCTATGGGACGACCGCCCGGTGGATTTGACCCTCTGCCAGACGCGCCGCGTGAACTGTTGCTAAACATACCGAAATTCCAGTCGGACTTGGACTCTGATGAGGCGGCCGACTTTGACGTTTGGGGTAATTTCGATTTGGGCTTATCTGTCGCCGATTGGCTGTCCCTGGCCATGGGTTTCTTCTCCCCGGCGGCACCTTTTGGCTGTGTGGACTTGCCGCCGGCCTCAAAGTACTTTTCGAAACCCTTCGGCGGCTTCTTGCAGAACAACTGCAGCTGCTCCACGAAGTAGCGTATCAGAGGCGACAGCTCCTGCGGCAGCATAGCAACGCCGGCACTGGTTTCGCGCTGCACCTGCTGGACGAGAAGGTGATGGAGGCGGAGGTGGTGGTGGTGGTGAAGGAAGAGAAAGCGGAAGGATCACGTGACTGACAGTCCTTTGGGAATTCCGTCATCCTGTTACTCACTTTGTTTGGCAGCGGGCCGGACATGTAGCTGCGTCGCATCAGGCAGTTCATTGCCTTGGCCGTGCTGAGCAGCCGGAATGCCATGACTTTTCTTTCGGGTTATTCAACGATTCTGGATGGTTGTTGTTGCGTTGCCTCCGGGTAGTCTGGCCAAATGCCCCCTGCGATGCCTAACCTACACTACGTCAATTTGGTATAAAATACTGAATTTTGTTGTCTTGCCAAAGCTTGGTGCCGCCTCATAGAGCAGATTAACTTAATAAAATGTGTAAAAAATATTACGCGTAGTGGTGCGCGATTGTGAAATTTCGATTTCTTCTTATCGTTTAACGACACTCACAGCGAAGCGCGGTTAGTGAGTGCTTCCTTGCCCAGCACTGCCAAGAATTAGAGATGTTTCAAAATAATAAGTTTTTACCGCCAACTATCGTTGCAACTATCTTCCATTTTGCGGATTTTTGGTTTAAGGGTTGCCAGATGGGTTGCCAGATCGAGGAATATCAACGCATCTTATCGTGTCGGTCAGTATAATTACAGTACATTTCTGGGGTATTTTTGGGCTCATATTTAAACGAAAAAGTGAGTCGGGAGAGCGTTTCGACCCACGGTGAGTTATGTGGTGAGATGGGTTTTATTCTTGAAAGCTCTGGACTTTGTGACGTTTCCGTTTTGGCCAAACATACCTTTTTTTTTTCTCAGCACTTTAAAGTTCCCTTGAAGCTTTCTTCCTTAAGAGGAAGAAAAAAACCGAGGATATGATGAAATTTTTGACATCCATGCAATGATCGATTTTATAAGCTGTTTATTGTATTATGAGGCGATGGATATGCGAAAATTGTCACTAAATGTATAATCCATCTCAATTAATATTGCAGTTTGTGGTAGTCTTGCAGTTACCAATAGATGCATTCCATTGTATTTCAATTGGAATGCAGAAGTTTAACAATATTGAAAGGATATTTCCCAATTGGGTATACAAAGTGCCATACTCCACAAATAAGTCGTTGATGTGTAGCAAATGTGTAGTTATCGCGTAGTTATCATGTAAAACATTGAATTTTGCTCCAGATTGATTTTTGATTAAACCTTATCTCTCAATAATTGTAATGAAAATGAGCACTTATGATTGACAAATCTTTAAGGAAATTGGTTAATTAATCGAAAAAAAAATATAGTTTAAGCGCTGAGAGTCTTATCTTGCTAGTAATATTAAACCGAATATCAAAATCGAGGAATATCAACGCATCTTGTCGTGGCCGTCAGTATATTTTCGGTATATTTTGACACTGACAAATTACATTTCGGTATATTACTGGGGTCACACTGTTGTTGTGGCTGTCGTGTGGTACGTATTTACTCGTGAAAATTCTTTTCTCTTAAAATAAGACAATTAATTAACTAAAATTTGGCCTGAAATTGTGCACAAAGTGTGCCGTGGGCAATGCTGTGATAGTGAAACATGGAGGATTGCCTGAAAAACAATGTTTGAACGCCTTAAAAGCAATTTTCTTCCGGGGCAATTGTGTCTGGTCTGTGTGGCTAAGGGGTGCCAAATTTGCAGCCCGAAAAAAAATGGAAAAAAAAACTTTTTTTTACCAACTTGGCACTGTGTGAATGTGTGTGTCGGTGTATGTGTGGCTGTATGTACAGTCGGCTGCTAAATTTACGCAAAAAACCACAACAAAAATGTGTAAAAATAGTTTACAACTGCAGTGCACTACTGTGTGTGTGTGCGTGCAATTTTTCCGGCAGCCAAATCAATAAAAATGCAGCTTACTGCGGTGTAGATTTCACTGACCAACAAAAAAAAAGTATTTGCTAATTTGTTTCACCTTTCTCTTCCCCCCTGCCTTTCTTTCTTTCAGCTTTTGTAACTAAAACTCCGTTTTGACATCACTTTCATCATAATCTGAATAAAAATAATAATAATATATAAAAAATACAACAAAAAAATAAAAAATATATAATTAAAACACCATCGAAAACGAATCAAAAATAATACATAAAAATAATTGAAAGTCACAGCAAAAATATCTAAAAATCAACAACAACTACTACACCAACAAAATATAAAAAAAAACATCAACAAAAAAGCTCAAAAAGTCAAAGAGGGCAAAAGCAAAAATTCTGCCATCAACTTTTTGGTTTTGAACACTTCTTTAGTTAATGTTTGCTTTTCTTTGCAAAGAAAGAGAGAAAACACAGAGGGAACGCCGAGAACCTACCAGTAGTGGGACGTCCGTGAGGCCTGCGTCCCGTAGGTGAGAGGGAGACAAAGCGACTGCGCAAATAAAACAAAACAAAAAAATACAACAAAAACAACAAGCCAAGCTTGAAACGGAAGACTTTCAAAAAACAAAAACAAATATAAAACCAACAAAAAAAAAACAAAACCAAACAAATTGTAAACGCTGTGAAATTAACTCGTCAATACTCAAAAGCACCAACAAACACACATAACAAAAGCAAAACTAAGAAGAAAATTGATAAAAAGAGGAAGCAAAAGTAAAAGCAAAAAAAAAACGGCAAGCACTGAAAAACCAACGGAAAAACCTAGCGGTAGGAAAAAACCGGCAGACGTTCTGTGGACGTCTCAAAAGCTCTCGAATAACAGTAAAAACAAAAGCAAAGGCAAACAACGTGAAAACAAGAAACTTTCAAAAAGCAAAAGCAACATCAATCCCAAAATTCCTCATTTATTTTCCTGCAAAAAGCTTTAATTTAATTACGAATTTTTCTGTTAAGTCAAAGTGAATTCAATTTGCTAATTATTTAAGATTAAGAAGACAACAAAAGGAAGCTACAGAAGCAGCAGCATCAACAACAACAACAACAAAAGAACACCAACCAACAAACAACTGAATTAATGTTTTAAAGTACAAAAATAACCGGGAGTAAAAAAAACTAAAACAAACAAAAAAAATAAGAAACAATTTAAGTTAAACGCAACATCAATCTTAAATTATTGAAATAAAAAATAAAACAAAAACTTCTAGCCCTTAAGCCTAGATAACGGTATAAGCCCAACGGGCCCAGGACAGTGTGTGCTCGCGAGCGAGACAGATAGAAAGAGAGCGGAGCAGAGAGCAGTCAGGAGCACGAAATAACTAACGGAAGAAGGAGCAAAGCTAAAAAAACGATAAAGCAACAATTGTGCCGCAAAAATGTGTGAATAGCAAAAGCATAAAACAAAAAGAAATCTACTACATAACGGTAACAATAAAGCAAAAAAAAAAAACATTAAAACCAAAAATCTACAAGAATTCTATAAGTTTTAAGTACCGTTTTACACCACAACAAAATACGAAGAAGAAGGAGAATGAGAATGAAACCCTAGTACATCTACGAAAAACGCAAAAGCAAAACAAAACAAAACCATACAACATAAGCGAAAAACTTAGCCAACAACACATTTTTTTTGTACATAAACCGAGCGAAAGGAAAATATAAAAAAGAAAACTGAGGAAAAAAAACTGTGTCGGCCTTGTGCCCTCCCAAAAAAAAATCAACAACAACGTTTTTATTTTACAACAAAACATGGTTTTTTACTAGTTTTTCAGTTGAATTTTTTTATAAGTGTACCTAGTGAGAAATGTTAAAAGTCTAAAACAACAACAGCAACAACAAAAAGCAACTGCAACAAAGGAAAGTAAAAAAGTAAAAAACAAAACAAAAAAACAAAACAAATTCAAAGAAAGATTTAACAACTCTGTGATAATTACTGTAAATTTATAAATTTAAACAAAAAGAAAAAAGAACAAGAAAAAACAATACAAAAAAATCTCTAACGGTATGAAAGGGAATTAACTTTTAACAATAGCAAAGGAGCGAAAGAGGAAAAAGGAGAACGAACGAGAGAGAAAGAGAGAACATCTTAAACCAACAACAACTTTACACTTAAGAGCAAATGCAAATGAAAAGATAAAAAAAACATTGAAACAAATTCGTGATATCTTAAAGGACTTCGATACATATATACTATAGTATATTATATATTATATTATATTATATAAACTATTAAACTAAGCTTAAATCTAGTAAGCAAAAAAACCGAAAGAATAAAGTGAAAAACAAAAAAGAAACAAAAACCAACCAACCAACAACAACAACAACAAAAAGCAAAATAAAAACCCTAGGTTATAAAAAAAGACTTCAAAACGCATTCAAAAAAATATATATATTATTATTTAAACAAATAAACCACAAATAAAAATCGTAGACTCTAAGATTTCAACAACCATAGTAAATGATCAGAGAAGAACGAACCTCTCCGCCGTATGGGAGTATCTACATACATATATCGACATATATATATATATATTATATTCTAAAGCCGTAAAAGCCCGTAACTTTTGCTTAGTGAATAGTAAATGAAACAGCAATAACAAGAACAACTGCAGTAACAAATCATACAAATTTTGCAACCGAAAAGTAATAGCAGCGTACAGCGAAAAGATACAAAACACAGACTAGCAGAAGGAGGAGGAGTACAGAAGGAATAGAAGAAGAAGTCGAGAGGAGAAGCCTGCAAATCCTAAAAGCTGCCACAACACAAACAATCAACGTGTAAGCAGCACCCCCCCCATCGTCCGCCCCCTCCACCCACAATCGTCGTAGCGTCGTATAGCGCCCAGCCCCCTGCCCACACACAGTCTAGGGTCAATCCAGCTGCAGAATCACTCAAGAATCAAGGGAAACCGTGAAACCGAAAAGCAAATATAGTAATAAATCACTACTACTTCCTATAAACCACAACGATTGCCTACAAATATATATTATATACATACATATATATATATATTATGTAAATTATATAGAAAGAACAATTATAATCACTTCCCAAAACAAAAGCAAAAAAAACACAAAATATTCAAATATCAAACAAACAAAAAAAAAAAACCTAATCTAACCCAAAAGTAAAAGTATTCCCAGTGTATTTTTCTAGTAAAAGTAAAATATAAAAAAAAATATATATTAAAAAAAAATCAACGGAAAAAATCATCAAAAAATGCAATAATTCAAATAAATAATTCAAATTCAATTCTAAAATACAACAAACAAACAAAAACACTAAAACCAACGGCAGCGAAGCAGCAGCTGGAAAAGGAAATGCATTTTCATCGTAGGACAAGAACCAGAACCATATTTTGAAGTACCCCCGAAAACACACAAACACACACACGAAGCAACAAGGAAGCGATCCAGGAAGGAAGCAGGGACGAGAAAGAGGAGGAGAGGAGTAACCACAACTACCAAAAGATAACCAGAAACTACAACGTTACAATATTTGTCGGCATTTTTTACAAAACAAACAAAAACACAACCAGGAACACACAAAACACAACAAACAAACAAACAAAAGAAAAACCAAAAGAAAGAATAGCAATTTTTTTGTGTGTGGTATATGCCCCGCGCGGCAAAAGACAAAAACTTTTATTAACTTCGAAGACAAGGAATTTCAGTGCCTCTTGTGCCAGTGTTTAGCCAAAATATATATACACAAAAAACAAAAACATTAAATAAAAAACAAAACAAAAAATTAAAAACAAACAACAAATACGTATTTGCTTAGTTTTTTTTTCTCTTTGATAAAAAACAATTACACTAAAAATCGAAAAGAATAAGGATAATAGTAAAACAATAAAAACAAAAACAAAAACAATAAAACACAAAACAACAGTTTTAGTTTTTCTTTTTGTGGGTCAATTTTTGGACCCTATCGCCGCGCGCTCTCTTCATCGTTCCACCCCGTTGTTCCATCGTTCTCGTCACACGGATTTCTCGCGGGTTTACCATCCAAAATATCATCAACGGAAAGCAACAGTCAGTCAGTCAGCCCGTCAGTCGTCTTTGCTAGTCCTCTTATCAGCATTTGTTCTACTTTGTTTCCTCATATCGAATCAATTGATCAATCAATCAATCCATTCAGCATGAATACACAATCGAAGGTTTATCGCACAGGCGAAGGTGAGTTTTCATTTTTTTGTGGAACATAAAGCTATGTGGGAGCTGCTTCTATAACCCCCATTCTTTCTCTCTCCCTCTTTCTATAAATTTCGTTCCACAGAGATGTATGAAAACTTGCCATGCGATGGTTATTTCAATATAAATGCCATTCGCAATTTGGGTATACCCACAACTTTCCCTACCATTGGAACATTTACGCTTGACTCCACCACTCTGGGCCTGCAGCCTCAACCGCAGCAGCAGGGTCCATCGCCTCAGCAGCAGCAGTCTATGCATCATCTTCAGCAGCAGCAGCAACATCAACAGCAGCAGCAGCAGCAGCAGCAACAGCAACAGCAACAACAACAACAACAACAGCAGCAACATCAGCAACAGCTTCTCCAGCAGCAGCAGCAACAGCAACAACAGCAGCAGCAGCAGCAACAACAACAACAGCATGCCAGCATTGGAATGTTTGATTCGACTGAAGTGCCCGATGTACCACAGATTGGGGTCTTCACATCGAACAGTGTGCTGACCAATGGGGCTGGCAGTTCATCCTCAATCTTTGGCTCGTCGAGCAGTTCATCGGCCGCCGCAGCGGATCCCAATCAGACCACCCGGGAGACGGGCATCATTGAAAAGCTATTGGTGAGTATTTAAACGCTTGTAACTTTCACTCTGTTGGCACTTTCTAATGCCCTCCCCTACCCTACCCGCTCTCATGTTCTTTCGCCCAAACAGCACTCGTATGGATTCATTCAGTGCTGCGAGCGTCAGGCGCGTCTGTTCTTTCACTTTTCGCAGTTTAGCGGTAACATTGATCACCTGAAGATCGGCGATCCCGTTGAGTTCGAGATGACCTATGACCGTCGCACCGGCAAGCCGATCGCTAGTCAAGTATCGAAGATAGCCCCAGAGGTTGTGCTGTCCGAGGAGCGTGTCACCGGCACAGTGACCACCGAACTGCGCACGGACAGTGCCAACAATGTGCTCAGCTCCAGCGAGACCACGGGTCGCATCAGCTACGAGAATCGAGGCGAATGTTTCTTTCTACCTTATACCAAAGACGATGTCGAAGGCAATGTCAACTTGCGTGCTGGCGATAAGGTCAGCTTTCAAATTGCAACGAACCAAAGGTGAGAAAGCAACCACCATAGAAAAACTAGCCAAAAAAAAAAGAATACTCACTGACTCTCTTCTCTCTCTCTCTCTGTACATCTTTGATCCGAAAACAGAGGCAACCTGGGCGCCTGCCATATACGCCTAGAGAATCCGGCCATGCCGGTCAAGTACCGTGGAGTGGTTTGCTCCATGAAGGAGTCGTTTGGCTTCATTGAACGCGCCGATGTGGTCAAGGAGATATTCTTTCACTTCTCCGAGGCCGAGGGCAATGTGGAGCTGCGTCCTGGCGACGATGTCGAGTTCACCATCCAAACCCGAAGCGTAAGTGTATACAGCACACACATTAGCAGCCACACACTTACCCCATCCACTTAAATGTCATTGAAAAAAAAAAAAAAAAAAACAGCAATCAGCGACTGTGCCGCCGCAGGGCCGTGAGTTTGCGTGCAACATTACGCGCCTGCCGCCCGGCTCCGTGATCTTTGAGGATGTGGACAGCACCGTTTACAAGGGACAGGTCCTGAAGTCCCTCGATCGCAACAATCCGGTGCGTCAGAACAACGATCCGCTGCCAGGACGCATACGCTATCGCGCCCTGGACTACTCCGAGGTGGAAGTGCCGTTCGGGGACAAGGACCAGAAGGGTGACTTTACGCTGCGGCACGGCGATTGGGTGCAGTTCCTGTTGGCCACCGACAGGCGGGATCAGCTGCAGCGTGCCACCTCCATAGCCCTGCTGGACGAGACCTTTAAGGTGTCCGGCGAGAAGCGAGAGCAGGGCACCATTGCCTCGCTCAAGGAGGGCTTTGGCTTTCTGCGCTGCGTGGAGCGGCAAGTGCGTTTATTTTTCCACTTTACCGAAGTGTTGGATACGGTACGAACGATCAATCGATTAATCAAAACTTTTAATTCTAATGCATCTGATATATTTAGAGCCGCGAAATCGATGTCAACGATGAGGTGGAGTTCACTGTCATCCAGGAGCCTGGCTTGGCCTATAACAACTCGCGTTTGCAGGCCATACGCATCAAGCATTTGCCGCCCAACTCTGTTGAATTCGAGACACTGATGGCCAGCAATATTGAGGGTATACTACAAAATTTTACACAACTTTCCCATTCATTTATTTACTCATCGTTTATTTCTTGCAGGCTGCGTGACCCGTGAGGCGCCCAAGAGCCCTATTAAATCTCAAGATCGCGTCGAGGGCGGTGTGATTACCTACGAAAGTGGCGATGCTAAAAAGACTATAATGTATTTTCTTAAAGACTGCGAAAAACCACCAAGGATTGGGGAGCGTGTACGCTTCGATATTTACATTGTAAGCTATTGGATAATCTCCTGATTTCGATACGATCGAAACTAATTTGATTTTAATTTTGTCAGGTCAAACGTAACAAGGAGTGTATAGCCGTCAATGTGCAGCAAATTTCGCTGCAACAACAGCAACTGCAACAGCAGCAGCAGCAGGCACAACAGCAATTGATAAACCAACAGGCTGCTGCTGCCCAGGCGGCGGCAACGGTGAGCCTCACCCAAGCCGATCAGCTGTCGCTTACGAATGGCATCAGTGGCAGCAGCTCGACAGCCTCGCTGCAGAACGGCTATGTGATGCACGGCAGCCCCGGGGGCAGCATCAGCAGCGTGGGCAGCAGCAGTAACCAGGCCAACATGGAGGACTTTAAGCTGGAGAACAACAATCTGGTCGGCACCGAGGGGGGGCAGATGTACCGCGGCTTCATAGCCGTCATGAAGGAGAACTTTGGATTCATTGAGACCCTCTCGCACGACGAGGAGGTCTTCTTTCACTTTAGCAACTACCTGGGCAATCCCAATTGGCTGGAACTCGGCCAGGAGGTCGAGTACACCCTGGCCCCCAATGGCAACACCTCCGTTTCGGGCAATTGCCTGCCAGCGGAGAATGTCCGGATGCTGCCCAAGAACTCCATACCGCAGCCGTCGGTGCTGGAAACCGTGCACAATGGAGTGGTGGCTCGTCCCCTGCGCTGCATCAATCCCGACCAGCAGGAGTACGCTGGCCTCATTGAGATACTCGACGAGCAGCGCACCACAATCATATCGCAGCACGAATTCGGCATCACCAGTCTGGTGAACAAGCGGGATCTGTTGCAAAAGGGGGATCTGGTCAGCTTCCGCATCGATGAGAGCGGACGGGCGGCCGATGTGAATGCGGTGCGGCTGAAGAAACGGGCCACAGTGGACTCCATCAAGGGACAGTTTGGTTTTCTCAACTTTGAGGTGGAGGATGGCAAGAAGCTATTCTTTCACATGTCCGAAGTGCAGGGCAATACGGTGGCCTTGCATCCAGGCGATACTGTGGAGTTTTCGGTGGTCACCAATCAAGTAAGTCATTGGCTGTAATAGAAAATCTAAGGGATTGTCTAATTTATTGATATATCATCAGCGTAATGGGAAATCTTCGGCTTGCAATGTTGTGAAAATAATCGATCGTCCGGATCGACTGATCTCGCGCCTCAAGCTCAATGGCGATGACACTGTGCCCCGCCTGATACTCATACGTGCACCCAAGGGGCCACAGGGCAAGGGCTTCTCTGTACTAGCGCGCCATCCACGCATTCCAGGTAGGTTATATGGGATATTTGGGATATCCTTAAGGTGATTTCTAATAACTGATTTGCATTGCAGGCAACTTGGTGGAGTAGAGAGATGATTGTGACGTGAAATGTTCCGAAGCCAGGGATATTAGATGCAAATCAAAGACAACTACAACATACAGCTATATACTTATAATACTTGAACGGAGCAGGCCATAAGCAGCAAGCAGGCAACCAACCAACCAATCAACCAACCAACTAACAGCAACGTGAACTTGTCGTGAAACCTAACCATAAACACACACAAAACACAACACATTTATATTGAATATAACCAATCCCTAGGAGCAATCAAAACACTATTGGAAGCGATAATAATTGATAATACGCGTAAACGTACATATAATATTAATTAAGGGCCAGGGGAGAACGAACCTCACTCTGTGTGTCTGAAAATGGAAATCTATTTGTAATATTACTAAAAACTCTAACCCCTCCAACACCAATCCCAATGTAACGCTTTGTTCTAAACTCAACTCAAAAGAAAATCCGTGTTGTGGCTGAAATAATGAAAATGAAATTCTGAAAGTTGTCTGAGTGATGGTATGAGCTGAGATGAGATGATGATGAAACAACCAAAACGTTTGTATACGTATACTATTTTCAACTAGTTTGATGTTTAATTTTAAAATAAAAAAAAAAACAAAACAAAACAAAATGAATCCAAAAAGCAAACTGAAACGAGAATTATAATATAAATAATGTAATTATTCTACGAGTAGAATGGCAACGAAATCCGTGCATTAATCGCGTTTGAATTTTGTATTAAAAAAAAGGCAACAACAACAACTACAACTACACTCCTCTCTATATAATGCATATACGAGTAGTTCCTGCTTCTAATTGTATCTTGCTCTATATTCTTCAGTCTCCTTCTACCGAACACCTCCTGTTCTTTCGATGCCTTCAAGCTTAACTGTTAACAAATTTATATTTATTATTAAATAACAGAAACGGAAACACCAATACCAATACACCCCCCCCAACACCCAACTGTCAAAAGCAATAAATACCTTACCAATAATCACGAAACGAAGCGAAGCAAAATGAAATGAAATGAAAGTATTTATGATAGCTAAACAAAAAGTCTAATTTGTATACAAGCATACATACATACATATAGATACATAAAAATATATATATATACATAAACCTATATATATTTTACATATACATTAACATATAGCATGCTAATTAATTATTATTTTGTTGATTATTTTTTGTACTTTCGCTTGTGAACCTTTTTGCTGAAGCTCTTTCACCTCTTCAATTCTGTTTTTATTAGCATTAACATACAACAACATAAAAAACAACCCCCCCATTACTGCATATGTCTTATAGGATATTTATTTAAACAAAACGACAACAACAACAACAACAAAACACCATATACATATATACTCTTTGGGTATCGTATCCAAAACAAAAATCACATAAAAAAAAACTAAAATTTAAAAACAAAAACAACATAAATGAGGTAGAAATTTACGAACAAGTTTTGTGTGTGACGAGATGAAGAGAGCAAATAAAATTTGCTGCGCCAAATCTGTTGAAAACCATTTAATGAAGATTATAAAAATAATTTTTAAAAAATATATTAGTATATTAACGAAACCAAAACCTTATGAACGTGTCGTCAGTAACAAAGAGCAAATATTGTGAAAATTATGAATTTCAATTACTAAAAAAAAAAACAACAAAAAAAAAATTAAAAAAAAACTAATGTAACACACACACACACACAAAATATATACCTATACTCTTTGAGTATCGGTTATAAAAAACAAAAAACAGACACACAATTTAAGAAGCTAACAAACAAATTCGGGATCAGTACGTCCTATTATAGCCATGTTATATACAACAAACAACAACAGCAACTACAGAAACAAAACTAATATATCCCCATGCTCTTTGAGTATCGGGTATAACAACAACAAAAGAAACACTAAACACACACACACACACACCATGAAGAGATACCAACAACAAATGCAGAACAAAGAGCAAAACAAAATAGTAACTTTAATCTTGTATAACACATCTACAGATCACATATACATACACACACACATAGATATATATATTGTATCTCGCGATATGGTATACTTATATACCATAGGGGCGGATGGGGGATAACAGCATCAGAAACAGAAACAGATAGGGAGGAAATAAAAGATCGTAAGAGAGAAATGCCAAAACGCCATGGAAGCCCAACAAAAAAACTCGATTTTTCAGCGGCTGAGCGTTTCGACATTTATATGCAATGCAAGAAATGAACAGCACAGTAACTAAATCCTTATTATAAACAAAACGAAAAACATAAAACATTTCAAAACAATAAAAAAAAAAAATCGAAAAACTCACAAAAAATGTAACAAAAACAACAAAAAAAAAACGATACAGAAATACAAGAAAAATATGTGCTTGAATACGAAAAAAAATCGCAAACTATATAAGTCAAATATAATACAACAAACAACAACAACAAACGTAATATAATACAAAATAAATACATATTTCAATAAAGCTAAAACACCTGTGTCTTTTGTTTGGTATCAATTTGTTGATGCTTTTAAATATAGGCAATGGAAGGCAAGGAAAGTCATGGAATATGACTGCAAAAGATCTTAGCTCTCAAATCACAACCCCAGAATTGAGGAAAGATGAACGCAGCCAGACTATAAAAATTAAATCTAACAAGACTAAATGATGTGAAATGAAAATTGGAATAGAACTTATGCACTAATATTCTAAAGCTTATTTCTGATAGTTTCCATGCCCACAAAATAATGATATATCCTTGTCGATTGGTTTCTTTTTTGGTTTTATTTTTTTTGTTTTTTATTTATAAGAATAATTTATATCTGCTTAGATTTGTTCGGTTACATGACATGACATGACTATGGGGTATGGTATCATCTTCCAACGTTTCCTTATCATCCCTTCGGTTCCCTGTGCTGTGGAATCTCTCTCGTATACATCCACCACCTCCTCCACGCGGACTCTCCTTCTCTTTTCTTGCCTGGTTATGCTTTCTGCACTTTTGCCGTATATACTCGTATGCTTGAAGTTATGTATATCTTTGTGTTTGTTTTTATGCTGCTAAAAATTCAAAATCTTTTCGCTTTTATATATACATATGTACCTATATATATTTATATATATATATTTTGTCGCCTATATGGTCTATATGTGGGTATGATGTTTGTTTACCTTATATTTTTTGTTTTGTTTTGTAGTCGAGGATCAAATTACTTACGAGTTAACGTTTTGCTTGCATTCGAGTGTTTTGTTTGGTTTTTCTATTAGTGAGTATTGCATTGATTCGATTCGATTCGATTTTTTGGTTTGTCTCCTATGCTACAAGTATGTGTATATTGTATACTAATATCGCTTAGTGTTAGTAGATATTTGAGTATTTTTTTTCGAGCTTTTGTTGGGGGCTAGAACATTTTTTTTTTTTTGATTTGAATTTTAAAAACCGATCGATTGATTACGATATACATACGTACATATATAAAGCCTGTAAAAAGGGATTTCGTAATACAAATTTGAATTAATGAGTATTTTGTTGTTTGCTTTTGCTTTTACTTTTACTTTTCACTTGACTTTGTTTCGTGTACGGAATTGAATTAATTTGATTCGATTCGAACTTACAAATTACAAATACTATTACAATTACAAATACAAAAAACGTTTCGAGCATTGTATAAAAAATCGAGGTAAACTTGATAGTGCATTCGGGATTCGGGATACGCGATCCGAGAGTGGAGCGTCCTGTCTGTCACTTTGTAGTTCATTCTTTGGCGTCATTTGTTTTTTTTGTTGGGGGGTTTGGGGGGAAACTCAGGGTTGTTGTTTTTTTAGGTTTCACTGGTTCAGGAGAAAGGCGGCAGCCGCCGAAGGCATATTCGATTCCTATTCTTGATTTCACGATTTCTAATGGCTGTGTTCGGTTCTAAGCGCCCCCCCTTAGCGAGAGGCTATTACATCAAAGTTTGCTTTTGGTGTTTTCTTTTGTCTTCCAGGATGATATGAGGGCGCTACTTATATCGAGGATGGGCTCATGAGCATGAAGGGTGAACTAAATCACGATACTTTTTTCTGTCTTTTTCTTTATACGAGTAGAGTATAGTATTTGGTTGCTTCTTTTACTATATCCTATACGAGAGAGAGAGTGAGAGAGAGAAGAGAAAATTTCAAATTTCGATTTGTTTTTTTTTTTTGGGGGGTGGGCAAGTACTTCCTTCTTTGGAACTGCAACGTATATACTTTCTATACCTTTTCTTTTTTTTTTTGTTTATATATAGTATTGTATATGTTTTTGTTTTTTTTTTTCTTAATAGGAAGAAGTTAGATAGTCTTAACATACGTGTACATAGCTATATTTGATATCCATTGGGGTTTTTGGTGCTTACATTTTTTTTTCGTTTTTTTTATATTTGTTTCATTTTTTTTTTGTTTTTAGTTTTTTTTTTGGGAACTTTTCGAACTGGGGAAACTTGAATTGCTTGTTGGTGGTGCTGGCTACGCCAAGTTGTGGGCGGGGGGTGGCATTCATTCCCCATAATGGGGCTGGGCAGGGCGTGAGTTTAGCGTACCTACAATGTATATATATGTATGCGTGTAGGCATGTGTGAGGCTTGTGTGTGTGTGTGCTCCTAAAGCGGCAAATATTCACCATGATTGAGAGAGATTTATGTGGAATTTCCGTTTTGTTCTTAAGACTTCTATTTAGATTTGTTTGCTTTGCCCTGGGATCAGCATTATCATTATCATAATATCGATATTGTTATCAACGCATTCGAATCATCAATCCATCATCATCATCATCATAATCATAATCATCAATCGTGCTTGGCATTGGGACACTTTTAGGCGCTATTCTTGGAGACAAACTCGCGCAGTATGTCGCCAGCCATCTCGATGTTGTTGCGCGATATCCCCAGAGCGGTGATCGCATTCTCCTTCGAATATCCCGCGTTCATCAGTCGCGCTATATACTCCAGATTGATGTTCTCGTAGGGCACGGAGCCACAGTCTTTTTGATTGATCGTCACGTTCGCATAGAGCAGCGGTTGCGTCTGCTGTTGCTGTGGAGGATTAGTTGCAGTCGCCGCCGCTGTCATTGTCTGGGTCACTGTCTGCTTGGGAGCGGCCTTCTTGCCGTTGGCCAGGGTTGCGGCGGAGGCGGCGGCGGCCAGCGCCGCCGAACCGCCAGTGCTGGTGGTGCACAGCTGTGTGTAGTGCGAGGAGGCCGAATCCTGCCTGGTGAGGGTCAAGCCACGGGCCTCCAGGGGGCGGGTATCGATCACGCCGCTAATGGTCTCCGCGGGCCCCACCTCCACGATGTCCTCGTCCAGCAGGGACAACACGGGGGAGGTGGTGCTCGTCGCTATGCGCTGCTGCCGCATCAAATCCTCCGCTAGGGTGTCCACGCTGGGCGTCACATGCGGCGGAATCGGGGGAGCTGTCGTCT